GGAACCCGCGGCTCCTTCCCACGGGAACGCCCACCCGAGCAGCTCCCGGGCGTGGGAAGGGCTGCCGTTCCTGTCACTGTAGCTCTCGGGGCAGGAACCGGGGCGCCGCACTAAAACGCCCGTCACCGAGCAGCTGAGGTAACCTTGCACGCGCTGAGCTCCCACAACACTGCTGCCCCTCGCTCTGTCCTTCCCCATGAACCTCATCGACAGCCCCACGCGACGCCGATTTTTACACCTCTCACCTGTTCCGACTCTTCGTCGCTGATGTTAGTTCTGCCCAGCATGGTAGCCTTGACAGTGGAGAGGATTTTCAGTTGCGTACTGATGGTGGGGATTCGCTCACACACCTGAGGGACGGGATAAAACACACCTCGCGTCGTGAACTGCGCCAACACGTCACCTCCTGCTTTTCCAGGGAAACTGCTGCTGTTTTACTGTTGTGTGAGGAATAAGCACAGAGGGGGCCTTACAGCCTTCGAGCCTTTCTGACAAACAGTGGTAGGATACTTGAATATTATTTTACTTGCTCTGGGAATCTGGGAGATGGAACCAACGTTTTTCCTTTCCTCCAGACATCCCTGAAGTATCTGCTTGGTTAGGAACAGGATGAAATACAGCTGAGACTGAAAAACTAAGGAGCATTGTATTTCTGTTACTATTCTTCGATGCAAACTAAGGAGTAGGTGAAATACACCACAGTGCAGGCCTAGGGCAGATCTGTGTTTGCAGCACAGTGGTTTTCACCACCTCTTTGGACACTAGCATCTTCCACTCACCCCTAAACAAATCCTGATCATATACAGCCATGGGAACTCAAAACAGACACAGAACTTGACAAACCTTCACAAGCCACGGACAGATACACTCAATTTACTGCCACAGCTCCTGTGCTCGCTCACGCTTCAGAGAACGAGAAAAAAAAAAAAAACCCACTACCTGAGGCATTACAAGTTAAGTCATTACCTGCAAGAGGTTTGTTCTGATGCGCTTGTCAGTGCACTGCTTCGCCACCTCTTTGGCTAACCGGGTGACTTCGTCCGACGCCTTGGCAATATCCTTTGCACACTGGATAAGGGCACGCTTGTTTCCACTCCCTCCTCTCACCAGGCGTGACATCTCTGCCATGAGCAGTGCCATTCGTTTAGCGGCAGCGATGATGTCGTTACCCTGGAGAGAACAACGCGAGTGAGCGTTCATGCCAGGACAGAAGCTCCACCAAGTCACGACTGAACGGCTGTCTGCATTTTGGTAGCAACCCTTGCAAGAAGTTAAGGATGGAAGAACCACGTGTGAACACAGAAGAGGTTTCTTCAAGGAACAGGGAAGATCTGTACTAATTATGTGTTTCTGACATGTGTTTTCTTCCTAACACTCAGGAAAAAAGTTTGCTTCAAAACTGGAAAAGAAGTGGCAAAGAAAAGTGTTAGTTTGTCCGTGGAATGCGAGTTACTGCTCTGCTGGCTAGGTTTTAACATCAAGCATGTTAGAAGCAATTGAAATTCCAGAATTTCCCACAAAAGGCTTTTATTTTTTTCTTTTTTAAAAGTGTGCTAAATAGCTTGTTAAACCAAATAGCACGAATTAAAGTTAAATAGTGTAGTTAAAACTGTTGAGCATAAAATTTTCAGTGGGATCTGAAAATGAAGTTGTTAAAGCATCAGCTATGCTGCTGTAATGCTGAAGGATCAGTGGAGGAGAACCTGTAACACAACGTTTGTCACAGGGAATGTGGAAACGAGATGCAGCTTATTTCTTAAGTTATTCCTTGAACGTAAATCTTCCTTTTGATACAATCTCCCCCTTTAAAATAAAGCTTCCAGGAGAGAATAACGTGATAGTTCAACAGACAATTTAGTGATATATCTTGCATTAAAATCCAGATTTCTTGTACATCAAAGTTACAGCGACATAAATACTTCTGAGAAATATTTGAAACGTGAATTAAGTATGATCAAGGCAAAACCATTTCTTATACACTGTTCCAGAGAGAAACCCAGTGCAAGAAGAGGCAGACCTAGAGGGTCAATTGTTAGTCGTCAGTTAGTATTCTTAGAGTCACCTTCGTAGAAAGTGGTTAGACAGAAGTGAACTATTTGGTGCCCTGAAGCATTCCTGTTGTGTGGAGGAAACGTTAGCAGAGTGACTTGAAGTATTAGCACCCTCTTTCCTCGGTATAATTCCACAATTCATGACCGATGAAGTTCCCAGCAAAGAGTACACAGTGAGAACCCAACTTAGCAAATGGATTCCCTATCCCTGTGCACATACTTCCATGACTTCCTACTAGCAAATGCAAGAAGATACCCCAGATGCTTTACAGATACAGGCGAGACACAAAGCCGGACTCCTCGTTACCGTGACCTAACAGCTAAACAGTTTGCTAGTATAACCAGTTAGGATGCAAACGACATAAAGCTTTTCCATGTTTTCACGTAGGAGGATCAAGATATTAGGACCAGTGTCATTTACGAAGCCCTCTAACAAGTTATCCAAGCATCAGAATCTGAAAAGGACAAGAACATTTTTAGAGCCCTTTTTATTAAAATGGTTTAGTAGACCTGTCTACGTAAATACATAGGCACACACAGACATAGGCACACCCCTCCAACCTCTGCTTGTTACGGGACACCAACCTTCCATTTTGCAGCATGCTCTAAAAAGTGACCAGTCTTGCAAACACTTATGCTCAGACAGAAGACGCAGGCTACTTGTGAGCGCCTGAACCCGGCGTTAGGTTTCCACTGGTTCACGTGAACGCAATCCCCGTTCAGCGGCTAACAGCATTCAGGGCAGCTTCTCCAAAGAACAACTCTCTCAAGACCAGCATGTGCAATACAGCCAAGTGCAAGCCAGCAGTCAGTCCTCCCCGACAAACACTGCCAGACAAAGCCATTCCCCTCTGGAAGGTATTTTAATTGATGGCATCAGTGGAGGCAAAGCGCAATAGGCACGTTAAATGACTTCTTGAGCGCTGTATACTCTGCTGTATCTGGAAGTCATTAAGAAACCATTAACCGTGGCTCCCCAGGTCACCCAAATGAGTGGAATAAAAGAACAGGGAGGGAGGGAGGGAAGACAAGCCCTATTGCAGTTTGAAAACTGCCCTAACAAAGAGGAACAGGCAGATGCAAAGAGAGAGGAAGTCTTTGAGTATTAATAAAGTGACCCAAATCAAGCTTCAATCCGCACTGACAAACAGGTCTAGCAAACTTGTGAAGCCACTCTCAGTCCTTAAAAGGAAGTGCAGACACACTTATTCATTCCGAATGGCAGGGCCCAGCAGGGATCAAGAGTGATGCAAATGTGTCAGCGTTCCAAATGGCTGGATGCACACGGATCAGTCCCCGGGGAGACTCGGGAGTACCTTACTAGACCACTTGGTTGCTTCCCGGTGTAGAGACTGAGCAGCAGCCAGAATGGGCTGGTTAACGGGCTGATTGGTTGGCATTAACAGCAGCTCAGGCTCGTAATCATCTTCAATGTCAGAGGGGAGAGTGAATTCAACATCTGCATCATCCTCCTCATCTACATCTACACCAGCCTCAGCCGCTTCATTAATCACAGTCACATCAGGCTTTGCAGGTGGCAGCAAGGGTGGAGAAACAGGGGACAGTTAGTAAAAGAAGCAGAATTTGGTAGAAGAGCATGAATTGAGCTCTTTTGGTGACCAACTCATCCTCTTGGTCTCCCAGGATCTGACAAGGCAGCTCTAGGATCAGGTCAGAGGAAGGAGGGGAAAACACAAGATTAGCAGAGGGAAACAAACATTTCACCTGCAAACCAAAGTTACCCAAAATATTAAGTAGTTATAATTCAAAGATGCAGAAACATTTTCCATCTGAGCACACAGCTTCTACAGACAGAGGCTGACTGGCAGAACATTCTTCTGGCATGACAATGGCGAAATGAATGGATTTTCTCTTTCAATGAAAGCCATTTTGAGGGCATAGAAGCAGGCCCAGCAGCTGATGACTGGTGTTTGTACAGATCGAAAGATGTGTATGGAAGCCCATTCATATGTGTGATAAAATGAGAGAGCAGCAGGATCACAGAAAAGCCACTGACACTGCTTGCTGTGGAGTAAAAAAACCAAACAGGTGGGATGGGAGACACGGTAGAAGTGAGTACTGAAGTACAACAGGTAACATGAAAAAGAAGAAAACAGGTTCTGAAGAAGTGATACTGTATGTTATGATTGCTGTGAATATTACAGTTCTTAAAGAAGACAAATAGAATTAGTAGAGTAAGAGGATTATGAAGCATACAATACTGTTTTGCCACAGTATGTTGTATCCATTACCTTCAAAAAAACCCAAAACAACACATACCCTACTGTGTTTGGGTAGATGACAAGGAAGAGGTGAGTGGTGTAACAATACAGGCATTTATAACAGAGCAGTATTTCAATACAACAACATTCCACAAGTTTACTAAATGTACTCCTTTGACTGAAGTCAAGTGTGAAACGAGTGAAACCACCCTTACCAAAACCTGTGCATTTTCAGCCGTGCTTTGCTTAAGATACGGCCTTTTGTACACAAGCATCTACACCAAAGAAAACACACAGAAGTTTTGGAAGGAAGGGTAACTTCTGTATACTGCCAAAATGACTCATCTTCAAAGACAACGTCTATGTAAGCCTTAGCTAATGAAACGTTTCCAAATATCCCTCATCCTCTGATTTCTCCAAAGGAGAAAAGGCAGGAAAAGCTAAAGCAATAGTCAGTGTCCAGTCTGTGCTCCATGAAAAAAGTGTGAGTACATAAAAGCCCAGAATTCACTCAGTGGAGTTTTTGTAAGGAAAAAAATAAACAAATCAATTTTAAATCTTAAAAGAATTAAGAATGTTAAGAATTTTTTTAAGATTGAGTACTTGGTCACCCCCCCATCGGTGTAACACATGGTAAAATACCCGTAGACTAAGGTAATTGGGCAAAAAAGCCATTGACAGTCTGCTGTGATTTAATACGAGCAAGACCTTACATTTCTGACTTTCCAGGTCAAACCCATATTCCTCAGAAGCACTGTCCATCAATCCCTCTCTCACCCAATAAGTGACTTTCAGACTTTAAGATGTTTTTAAAAACTCTTCACACAAAGCATCCTGTCAGAATAGGTGTGCTGTTATTGCTGAAACAGGACTGCTAAAAGAACTAGAAGGAGAAACGCTCGGCTGGCTTACTGGCTGGCTGGTCCTAAGGATGCAGTTAAAGCAGTGTTTGACAATATGAAGACACTAAGCTTAGAGCTCTTTCATAGCCAGCGAAGAGTTTGAAGGTCTGCTGCTTGGCTTCAATAAATAAATATTCTAACAGTTGACTATTTAATTTAGAAATGTCTGTAGTATATATACTACATACAATTTACTATGCATGTATAATAATAAGCATTTTATTACCTACTGTGTATTCTTAAGTTACCCATTTGGGTTCTCAAACATCCGAACACTTCTGAAGCTGACATGAAGGCTTTTTGCCTCAAAACAATCTTCTGAGATGATTAATACATTCCACTACTATCCCTCTAGTAATATAAATATGTATTTGGTATATCCAGCAGTATGGAGAAAACAGCTTTTCACTGGATGGAAGAGACACTCAAACAGATCTGCAGGACTTGTGTATTTTATCTGAACTTCCAATACAGATGCCTCTTAAGCAGGAAGCACTGAAGTCGATTCTCTAAGCTACTCGGAGTTGGAAACATTTTTATGAGCATTTTTAAGACCAATGAGTTCACACTGCTCTGTCACAGCACTGCAATGGTAAGAAAACAAAGGATTTGGGGCCTGATAGCAAGCGTGACCTGAAAATAAAACAACCAAAAGAGATGAGGCCATCTATATATGGTACTTTTTCCAACCATAAATGCACCAGATGAACTGCAAAGTAACCTGCAGCTCCTTCCAGAATGAAGGCCAACCAGCTCACGATTCCTGCGGCTGGCATCTGCAAGATCCATACGGGTCACTGCGATACAGCAACCAGCCTGTCAGCCTCGGAAGGCACAAGTATTAGAGGCTCTCTAGGCAAGGCCAGCATCAAGGATCACAAAGAGCCCAGCATACAAGGTGTATTTGTGTTCAGAGGTATGTTAATAAAGCAGTCTAGCAATTCTGAGCATTACAACAGTTGACCCTAGTTCACTCTGAACTTGAAAGGGTTTGGAATTCCTCCCACAGCAGTGTTTTTACGGTTTGTTCTATAAAAGACTTCCTGTCATTGAGACAACTGACTTTGGACCAAACACACTGATCCTAAATAAATAAAGATAGATTCGTTTTAGCACAAGACACATCTAACAAGTTCTTACCTTGCTAGACCACTTCCGGGCTTCGTCGTGCAGCTGCCTGGCAGCCATCATCATGGGCTGATTAATCGCTTCTCCTGCTTTCTGCTCTGGGAACTCTTCATCCTTTTCTTCAGGTGGTGGTGGTCTGGGTGGGGGAACCTCACCTTCCGGAAGTGGTGGTTTTGGAGGAGCAAGCTCATCAGTCAGCTAAGAAAAGCAAAGAGCTCGTTCAGTGCAGCGCAACAGTGCGCAGAGCGAGTAAAGGATGGTGCCACAGCAAGACATGATTGCACCAGCCCATTGTCAGTGACAGGTGTGGATCGAATCACAAACTATGCTGCACTTACATGAAGCTGCTCAAGGTCAGGAGGAGGAGGAGGAAAATCTGGTTCCTGAGGCTGGAAGGCTTCTCTGACTTTGGCCACAGCTCCCAGAATTCTATATCCAGAATCCAAGAAACTTTTCTGCAAACCTGAACAAAAAATCCCATCACCAGTTTAATAGCATCCTCTAATATACAGAACTGCAACAGCACCCCAAAAAATTAATTCTATAGCATGCTGTGCTGAGTAAACTTCCTTCTGTGATAAAATAGATGTTTAAAATCTACCAGATTGTTTACAGTGGGTTTACATGTTTAAAATGTTAGTGTCATATGCCACATACACAAAACAAAGCCTAGGCCAAGTAAGTCACTGTCAATAGCCAAAACCAGCTTCTAGAATACAATAAGCTACATAGTATTTCTTATGTAAAAGTAGTACTACTGACAGCTAGTAACAAGTACTTCTAATAGAGATTATGAAATCACATAGTAAACTAGAATGCCAAATCCTTCTCCCTTGAATATGTCAGAGGTCTTAGAATGCATTTTAAAAGAACAGGATTCAGCAGTTAGTGGTGTGACCTTGATTTCACCATTGTGGGATTTAAGCGTACACAAAACTTGCACAAAAGGGGATACAGAGCTGTAGAAGACGAATGAGCACTACTTCACATCACCTTCAGTCAGTAAAGAAGACACCTGCAATCAGATCACTGAATGCTTACCAGGATCAGAAATGTTTCCTGCCACAGCTTTCGCATCCATTACCATTGGCGATATGGTTTTGCTTAGCTCATCAGAGGCTGCTTTAACAGCCTCCCGGAATTTAGGGTCCTCTGAATTTTCAACCTCCCGTTTCGCTACCAGTAGGATGCGGTTCGCCCGTCGAGCGATGCTGGTGGCACCAGCCACCAGCATCTGAGGTTGCATGTTGGCCATGGCAACTTTACACTTATCGAGATCTTTCTTAATGGCCTCTTCTGACGCATCCAGCAGAGATTTAGTATCGATGGCTTCATCCACCAACCCTAGAATGAGAGTTAAGCACAGTAATGTTCTACTTTTATCTGCGGCACGGGATATTTGGTATGCCAGAGACTGTTCACAACCAGAGAAGTGTTTCCAAACGGGGGCATGGGGAGGGCATGGCAATCAGACCAAATGCATTACTGCAGTGTTACTTCTGATGATGTGGTACCTCTATCACAGTAACTGTGGTCAAGCTTGCTCCCACTAATGACATCCCAGGCTCTTATTCATCTACCATGGCACACTGCTTGAGCCAAGAACTGGCTGACCCAGTATATGCACCAGAGATTCCTTCCTCCCACCACACTTCCTGAAACATATTCAGTTCTCTTTGGACCTCTCCCACTCATTCAAAAGGGACTTCCTGAAACATATTCAGTTCTCTATGGACCTCTCCCATTCATTCAAAAGGGAATATCCCTCTGGCTGTGCTTTTACTTAAGGGTGATATATATGACAAGGAAATAAAACCCCACGATTTCATTATGGAGGTAGAGAAGGTGGTAGTTCACAGTCAGGAGATCAGCAAATCAGCGCAAATGCCCTGCTGCTTTTACTTAAGGGTGATATATATTACAAGGAAATAAAACCCCACAATTTCATTATGGAGGTGGAGAAGGTGGTAGTTCAGAGTCAGGAGATCAGCAGATCAGCGCAAATGCCCTGAACTTTGGAAGGACTGAAACATTTAAGTGTCTCAGCAAACTTCAGTAGGTCAGTAGCTTTGTTTTATTCACTGCTTTCATCAAGCTGTTACATCATTTTGAACATGTTTTCTTACCCACACTAAATTAGCTGTGCTCTTTCAACATGCCAACATTATGCAGACAAAACCCTCGGGTTGCTAGAGTGATATACTGCTGGAACAGCAATCACAACACAAAGCAGTGCTATTCTGGTTTTCCCACAGAAGAACTAAAGGTGAATTGGCTCCCCTGCAGCTCAAAATCAACCCACATGAAGCAAGCTGTTTTGTTTATGCTGTACCATATACATATTTCTGGAGCCAGTGAGCACATTCCCACTAATTTATTCTAATCAGTCATTACACCTCTACATGTTTCATCAACCCAAAGAGAATGGGGGAAAATCTACTCCAGCTAGTTGGCCACAAGTATTGTTTTCAACTAAAATTCCAAATTCACCTGTCATTTTCTCTACATTATCAATCCATTGGTTTTTCATGGTCTCAAAATGTTCATAAGCAGCTTGATTTCCAGGATTTCTGAGGAGGATGCGAGCAGCTGACACCACCTGCCAATGGAAAACACGTTTAATTATGCAAGTGTCAGTATATGTCATCATCGCACATTCTTGAAAATGCATTTTTCCAGGACTGAATGTGCAGCGCCTCATTTGGAACACTAGTTCATTAATCTGAGGTTGACATCCAGCTGCCTGAAGATTATAGTGCTTCTGAATTTGTTGACACAAATATTTTTTTCCTGGAACCTCAATTACATGCTAATGTATCTTAACACTTTCTGAAAGCACTAGTACAATACTTATTACACTACCAGAATTTTGGATGGAAGTTTAATTTGGGAAATAATTAAAAAACCCATTGAGGACCATTTTTCCCACTTAGGTACTTTACTAAGTCTCAAAGCAATTTGGTTTCCAGGGTAAGTCACTAACGCTTCTGTCCAAGCTGGAGAGCAAGACATGTCATTTAACCAGTTTTTTCTAATTGATGTCACATGCACAAGTATTTGCCATTCCCCTTCAAAGAGTGCCAGCACCATGTCCCTTGCTTTAACACCTTTCTCTGAGAACAGAGGCAGAAAGAAAATTCCAGAGAAGTCTCCCCCCGGTATTTTAACCGCCCTTCAAGAGTAAGGAAGCAAACCTGCGGGGTAAGTTCCCTTGCTGATTTCACCGTGGCCTGAATGCCCTCCACAGTAGTTTTATTTGCAGTTCCAACCGCGGCTGCTTTTTCCGCCGTCGCTCCCAGCCTAGCAGCATGGTTCTCAAAGTTTGCTGCTCTTTCATCAAACACCTAGTTGTCCAAAGAGAAAAATGATTAAAAAAGCTTAACTCCCCTAATAGAATAGACCCTTTCTTTGAAGTGTCGAATACCAGAGACACCTTCATAACATCCAAACTTCATTCATCTCCCGAGAAGATCCAAGAAGACACAGCAGCTTTGAAGCATTTTTATTTTTCATCTTTACATTACCAGACTTTCTTCTTTATGAACTTAGTTGGGCAACAGAGGACACTACCACACCTTATAGCTTTCCTGTAGCCTGATGGCTCCTGCTGTAACAAATACTGTGTTAAAACTATTTTAGCTCAGAGAAATTAATCTTCAAGCCCATAATCCAAAAGTAACTATGTTTGGAAGATAAATATGGGGTTTTTACCCTAAAACCTGAACTGACACATCAGAAACAACTTCCCTCCTTCCACAGTCCTTAGTTACTCAGGGCACAGAACAACAGAAAGCTATCCTGTCATGAAGCTAAATTCCCCAAGGCCTTGGGAATCATTTTGATCATGTCCAAATCAGCTAGCCAAACAGCACTGCCAGACACAGTTTTAGATACTTCATATGCAGCCAGTAGCTTGGAAGTACAGGAAACGTAATCCAGGAAGATAACAGGTTAGACATGTTGGAAAGTCTTGGCATGAATTTGACTATTTTAACCAGCTTGTGTAACATTGAGATATACATTCCACTAATTAGTGTATCAGTGATTTCTGCACAAGAATTTTTGGCATGCTGAAGACAACAAGGTGCAAACACCACCGGGAGAAATCTCTGCAGTTTATTGAAGTCAGGAACCATACAGTTTCTAGGGATATGCAGCAAAATTCGCACTCTCCAAGAGTCCAGAGAGGTTTGCATGGCAGTCATTATGCTGTCAGAATTAATAACCATGTATCACAAGCTTGAGAAAACAATACCAATTCATTTTTCAAAATACCAATTCAGGCAAAATTAAACACTAACTGAAGCTTCACATGGGTAAAAGACCACCTGGGTATACTTGCCTCCTCTCTGTTGGGAGCATCGGAGGGAGCAGTGGCTGCTACCGCTAACAATTTAATAGGTGTTGTGGTGTCACTAAAAACATCAGAAACCTCTTGAGTCATTGCCTCTTGCATCCGAGCTTTAAGATCCTTAAAAAAAAAGAATAGCATTAGCATATGATACAGAAATATTAAGCTTGTAGGGATTCAAATCCCATAAAATTTCTTCCTGGGAAAAAAAGAGGCAGTCATTAAGATAAAACGATGTCTTAAAATCATGTCAATGAATCACTTTTTACCTAATGTGAAATACAAGCAGCTTACATAGCACTGCCTGAAGCAGCATCAGAAGTTATGAACAGCACGATTTCAGACCATGCCCCTCAAACTTGCCGTTCTAGCATACCATTTTATTTTAAAAGGAGTCTTTGATTTTACTTCCAAATTGTTCATTTGGGATTAATCCTTACGGGATGACGTGAACGCCTTTGCAGAAAGTTTGCTTTACGCATCTCTGCTAAATGAGAGGTGTTTTGATGCGCTTTTGGTTTTACTGCTGCCTCCCACACACAAGCGCTTTATCAGAGGAGTGCCAGTACTTCAGCATACCACGCGTTTCACTGCACAAGAGCAGATTTTTACCTTCAGTGAGTCCTGCAGCTGAGCAGCAACTGCCCTGGCCTGAGGCGATTCTCCCTCCCCTCTCGCTGCGAGGTCAGCTAGCTGAGCCGCCAGTTGGTCTACACGGTCACACTTGGCAAGAAGGTCTTGACGATAAGGTCCCATCATGACGTTGGCCAAACGACGGCCCTCCGCAACCAGACCCCGAATTGCTGCCTGGCCTACAGCGGGAGAGGTCACGCTGCGTTAGCAGTGAAACAAAAAGCTGAAAGCTTTTTGCATTCAGATGCACCACAAAGTAAGGGACAGTTCACAAATCCTGCCTTCTTAGAACACCTCTCTAGGTAGTGGAGAGGATCTTCTGCACTTCATCATTGTAATTGCACTTCAAACCCACAGAGGAATTCAGCTCTCACTGGTTTCCTTTTGCTTATGACAGCAGCTGTGGCCAGGGATGCATCCTTGAACTAGGGCAGTCTGACAGAAGGTAACCCCTACGGCTGTCAGGTGTTGCTGGCGCCAACAGAAAGCACTTGCAAACTCAAGTACTGCAGTTCATCTCCAGGAAGAGGTGGAGAAAAGCTAAGTATAAAATATAAATGAAAAAGCGGAATACCCTCTCCCAGGATTCCAGAAATCATGGATAAGAAGGGTCAGGTGACTAGGATGGGAGTGGGTTTGCAGTTACACTATTTCTTATAAGGCCTGTTTCCACTCATCATTACCAGTCACACTGCTCAGACGTATCTGCACTGCTTAGACTTAACTGCTATGGAAAAACTACTGAATCCAGTTTTCAAGCTCATCCACATACCTGCAATAGCGTGAGAAGCAGCTGAACAAGAAGCTTCAGAAATTGTTTACACTAAACTCTCAGTAGAGCAACTCCTGAACCATAATTACATGCTCGCTGATAGCATGCCTGGATTCTCAGATCACCTTTCTCTTTGATTAATATGCTGGATTCAGCCAGGAAAGAGTTAACTCTACAATTAAGTAGTACTGTCCCCAGATAACCCAGAAACCATACAAGAAGTGAGATTTTTAAGTCAGGTTTATGAATGTTTTTCTCCTCTCTGATGAACTGACTTAGTCAATTTGCTGAAGCAGGTATAAATTCGAATTCTATGATTTTGAGATACTCTATTTGCATGATAATAAGAGCAAGGAGCAGCCTGAAGTTTGTTCTACAGCACACAGTCTCCTGTTCTTTGCCCAATTGTTCTTTCCAGAAGACAAAGAGAATCAAGGGCCAGCTTGATTCAATAGTATGGTAGCCAGGACTTGGCTATCAATCTCCAGCCACAAACTGCAGGTCTCCAGTGAAGATTCCACACGTCCTCGGCATCTCAGGAGCAGCAGTTTCAGTCATAAAAATTCCTGACAAGTTTAGCCGTAGGACTGCCGGGGTGAAGAGCACACAAACACTTACCTACTCCCCGATCCGCAACTGTAGGATTGTCTATCCACCTTTGAGCTTGCTCAATCTTGCCCTCCAAATGGACAGCTGCTTTAACGGGCCTAGTATTTGCTACAGCCCTGTTTGTTTTGGACTGTAAATTCTGAAGCGACGTAGCTATTTGCTTAGCCAACGCACGGGCCTCAGGAGAGTCACCTTTCCCACTGAGGATTAAAAAAAAAAGTACAGTCATATAAAGATCATTTACAGCTAGTCACAAATTCATCTTTCTAAATTAGGTTTAAATTTGACATGAGTTCTCAGAGCAAATAATGCAGATCTGCCATCCATAAATCCCCACTTCACACTTCTCTGCTGTGGCGCCTGGATATTACATAGGTGCGGCATAGCACCGAGCTGGGGGAAGGCACGTCCTGTCAGTGGCAATACCAATGCAGGACTTGGATTTCCCATACTCGTGGCTGTCTCATGAGCAACTGCAACAATGCCCCGCAGATCACAGCAGAAAGGCAAGCAGCAGCAGGGCCAAGGCTACGTTTAGCCTGAGAAGAGGTCGCACCTTAAGATCTGCAGCAGCTGAATCTCAATAAAAACTTGACTCAAGTGTCTAACTAAGGAAGAAAGAAAAATATTTATCTCCATATTACAACTGGCCAGAGATCACAGTTTATACAATAACTGCTTCTCCACTTCCATTCTCTAGCCTCCTCTCTGCAAAACTGACACAGAAATGTCATTTCTGAAAGCCGTATCTTTTATATAGTTTGCAGTTACGGCTTAGAGCACAGACACTGATCGAAGCGGTAGATATTCCACCTTCCCACTTAGTAAACTGCTTAGCAAGATACAGTGGTGACATTTGTCTGCGTAAACAAACAGACACCACGTTATGTCATTCCTTCAAAGTGTTTTGACAGTACAAAGGAGCTCTTTTTTTGATTCAGTTTGCCTGTCAAATATTCCATAAGCAGTAAAAAGAAAACTATTTCTAGGTAATGCAACTCCAGTTACTTTTTTTTTTTTTTTTAGGAAGATACTGCAAGTTGGGCTTTGGGACAGAAATCATTAGGCTTAAGCATTAAAAACAATGCTGTATTTTATAAATTACATTTTTTAAAGGATGTTAGAAAGTTAGCTCCCCTCCCCCCAGGCACTGAGCAATTCTTCACACTGATTTTTTACTAAAAGCAGGATAGAAACTGAGAAGCATAACGTGTCCATTCTGATTTCTTGGAGAAAAACATATTCCCCAATTAATCATCAATATTCTGATTTTGCTCAGCACTTTGAACTGCAAATCATTCAAATAACATAATGGTGATTAATACATACTGTCGCCGCAGATCTGACAGCTTGGCTGTCAAAGCAGAGATTTCCCCCAGGGAACGAAGGATATCATCTCTTTCTTTAGGCTCCTCACACAATTCTGCCACTTTCCTGGCTTCAGCCATAATTCCCCGAATATGTTCTTCTCCTTCAGAGCCCCCATTAGGATCTGCAAGCCAGTTCTTAATAGAAAGAAGTTGTGTGTGAGCAAAGATAAACAGTAATATTATTTCCACAGAGACTTTTAAACAAGAAGAAATACCAACACAGCTTTCAAAATGCTATTTAAAATACTTTTCAAAACCAATTTCTGTTGATTAGATACAATTAAATTGTTCTATTGCCTGGCAGATTTCCTGTTTTGAAAAAGATGTCAAATTAGATGAAACTTTCCAAAGATAGTTTCTCCCTAACATTTGGCAACAGTATTTTCAGAAGTAAAATTTAACCAGTGGCATTAGAGACTCATGATCTGGCCTTCAGAAAAAAATGAAAACAGATGTTCTTGTGCATAGCTGTGCTCTTGACAGCTCTTCCTAAAAAGTCTCATTATCATGTCATTTTGTATATAGAATACTGACGTATAGTTTTACATACATACAGTTGCATACAAATCTAGATAAGATATATATATATAAGGTTCATTAATCAATGACTGTCATCATCACTGGGTAACAGGCTGACCATTGAGGAAGACTTAAGAGTTACAAAAATAAGGGATTGTCTAAAAGAAAAAGGGCTTCATTAACATTGTTTTGGTTTTATCATTAATATGAACTTCTAAACCCTGAACTCCACTCCCCACACCAAGCCCATGGAAAGGGCTCTAGTTTTACCCACAGGTAAATCTGTGTGGTCTGCAATGCCTGCGCTCTTTACTTTAACGAGATCACTGTATGTCCAGATTTAGGGTGTTTCTTCTTTTTAATTGCTAAAAATTTCAATGTTATTTAACTTCTAGCAATGCTAAGCAATTATTAAAAAAAATGTCCTAAGTCGTAACAAGTCACCTTGTAAATTGCTGAATTTAAGATTTTCCTTTGTAAAAGCAAGTATCCCCTATAAGTTCTTCCTAACAATAACTGCGCTGTGCCTGGAAGCAACTACAACTGTTCAGTATAACAGCTCTAACAGTAGTAGTGTCATCACATTCTGCAGTACTTATGACATCATTAGTGGTACCTGAGCAGCATCAATCTTCTTAGCAATTGCCTGCTTAGAGTTTGTCATGGCCTCCAATTTGCGGGCTGCGTTCTCCACTTTTGCAGTGAGCAAATCCAGACCTTGCGACACCTGCTGCGCCTTCTGCATAGCCATGGGCGTAGCACCCTGTCCTCTGCCCCAGACAAAGAGCATCAGAGATATAGCTCAGGAGTGAACAAAACTCTTGTTAATGAAGAGCCAACAAAACTGCTTAAGAGCATTCCCAGCAATTTTTCGGGTGATACAGTACTCACTTTCCACCACCACCCCACCCCCTGGGAAAACAAACATAACTTGAGGGGGAAGACCACAACAAGAAGAGTTTAAGAGCCTATTTTCCCCTTTCCAGACCTGCGCTTTTAGCATGCTCAGAAGAACGAGCATTTTTTAAGCGTCAAAGTGAGGCTGTTTGAGGGTGCGCAGGGCAAGGGCTGGTGTCTCCTCGTTTATAGATCGCTGAACGTCAGTCAGAACCTGCAGGAGCTATATCTCACCGTACCTAAGTGAGGACAGCAAGTCTGCAAGTGAAAACAACTTCTCTTAGTCGCATCAGTTACAATGTAGAGTAAAGGTTACAGGCTAGTGGTAAGACTTCTTAAAAAGCTGAAAAGGATGCTATCAATACAAATTTACAGGACTGTAGAAAACCATTTGCTGCACTACCACTGGTAGTTCAAATGCTTAGGAATTAAAAGTTGGATAGGAAGGTTACTTCAAATACACGCGCCTGAGAATGTTAGATTTGCATAAGCAATCTCATACCCTATTCTGATAGCACCTGACTACTGGAAAGCTTTTTGAGCATGTTACCTTCCTCAAGCCACTGAGTTTGAAGCGACCATACTAAGTGGGTGGATGACAAGCGTGCTACTGAGATGCTAAGGTGGACTGTACAGTCGGGCCAGAGTCTCAAGGTGTGTTTCCTTATACCTGATTTCTCACAGGCTGAGAGAACTCTAACTCTACACAAGACATGCAGATGAAGTTCAGCAGAATTTATCGGTGACTGACAAACAACTCCAGCAACTCCTGCTTGTGGTCTGACATGCTAATGAACACCAAAAACTAGGGTACTCCTATATCTTACAGCCATAGGGGTATATCATCTTTGGAGAGCAGACTTAACAGTAGAATGGAAAATTTCATTTCTGCTGAGTTTGGAAGGAGGTTGTGTTTGGCATAAAACTACCCCCAAATTATCTACTTGAGCAATTCTGCTCATCATGTTATACAATTAAAATTTCACATATTAAAACACATTTTTCTTATAAGAAGAGATTGCAGTAAAAAAAGGCCAAACACAGCTCCTGGCCTGCTGTCCTACAGGTGAGGAAGTGACATGACCAAGTTCAGAAACAACTCTTAATGGTACTGGAAGACTGTCCACAACAAGTGAAAGGCTTACCTAGCTCTGAGGTCAGCCAGTTGGTCAGTCATCTGGCCCAGTGTTTTGCATGTTCCCAGAATCTCTCTGCGTTCTTTGCCAGCACACAGTTCTCCCGCTTTCCCAGCTTCATCAAGGATCTGCCTTATTGCTTGCTCACCAGCATCCCCTAAGACACAGTCAGTTAGCACAACAAACAAGACACTCCTTGACATGGAGGAGCAAACGGCTAGTCTCATCACGGCCCACCACACTAACTGCATTGGGTTCAGTCGTGAAAATACACTTATCAAAGTATGAAATACACACCAAATATCACAATTATAACCGGACAGTACTTCTCAAACAATATAGCATAGCCTACAGTGCATTGTGTGCCATGTTTTTCAAGGCATCTCGTCATTCTGGCTGGAGCACCTCTCCTATGACGAAAGGCTGCGAGAACTGGGCTTGTTCAGCCTGGAGAAGAGGAGGCTCCGAGGAGACCTCATTGCAGCTTTCCAGTAGCTGAAGGGGCTACAAGGGTGCTGGGAGAGGACTTTTTACAAGAGCCTGTAGTGACAGGACAAGGGGTAATGGGTACAAATTGAAATCAGGGAGGGTTAGATTAGATGTCAGGAAGAAATTCTTCACAGAAAGGGTGGTGAAGCACTGGAACAGGTTGCCCAGAGATGTTGTGGATGCCCCATCCCTGGATGTCTTCAAGGCCAGGCTGGATGAGGCTTTGAGCAACCTGGTCTAGTGCAAGGTGTCCCTGCCCATGGCAGGGGGGGTGGAACTAGATGATCTTTAAGGTCCCTTCCAACCCACACCATTCTATGATTCTATGATTCTGCTAGCATAGTTTAACTTCTACAAATCCTTCATGTCATGGAATCATAGAATGGTTGGGTTAGTTGGGTTATTCATAGAATCTGTAATTCAGGTTAAGGGAAGGAGCAACATGGGAAGATCCATGTTGCCTTAACTTCAGCCACTTGCAAATCTGACTTGATTTTGCCTAAGATGCAAGAACAACATTCCTTTTCCTTGCAACTCACCCTGATCCCATCCTCCAGCATTATGGATAGCGGAGGTGCCAGTGCCCATAAAGTACTGGTCCCTCCATGAAATTATAACAATGATATTGGCTCAGAGACGTCGTACCATAAGGAGCACTCGCATGACAAACATTACAAGGTTAGTTCCAAGTAACACACCCAGCACAATCTGATTAGCAGTTACGTTCTACAGTTAGAACTGAACTTTTAGTAGCTTATTTCATTAACTGTCAGCATCAATGACAGATGGCTTTGAAAATAAGTTCCTCGAATTGATTGTGGCAAGGGGAACGAGGTCAGGAGTAGTGTAAACAGCAGCTCCACAGATGATAACAATTCACTTCCTACTTTTACAACCGTTTTATTTCAGCTTCAATTTCACAGCAATTCTTTCAGATAACATCTTTCAAAGTCCAAATGGAACCAGTCTCTGTCCAGTTTTATTTGCTTTAAAGATGTGTACAAAGGCAATACCTTTATATCAGCAAAGGTGACTAGTTACACTATTGGTGACAGATTTTCATATTAAAATTTTATGTCAAGACAGAATGAACAACACGTAAATATTACTTTTAGGCAAATCTAAGGTTGTAACAAATTTGAAAACACAGAAGGGAATTAATGTATTAGCAACCACTGCAGTTACTGTTCCATGCAGTTTATGGGGTTTTGCTTTTACTAGCAGAATGCAAAGAAAAACCATACATGTTATTATACAGCGTATATCATTCAGACAAGTGAAAAGAAGGAAAGCTTTCCAGGTCATTAGACACAACTTGTTCAATTTCCAGTATCTAAAGAAAGGAATAAATACAGGCTCCTCCTGGATGAGCCACTATATATGGGTTATCAATGCTTAAGGGAAATTTTGTCTTACAAAACAGAGTTATTCAGACCTTTAAAAATCAAAATACTTCATGCTGGTTTTGTTTGTTTTTAATATTACCTGGAGGTGCATTTGGATCTCTCAGCCAACCTTTTGCCTGGTTCATCTTTGAATCTATTAAAGCTAAAGCTCTTTTCATGGCTTCAGTGTCCTTTACAAAAGAGAAACCACCAAAATGATTCTCAAAACAAAAACCAAAGCAGAAATAACCCACACAGCCAAAGCAGACAGAAGTTTATAAAGCACAGTCTGCTTACAGAAACACACCCATATAAGCAGCTCAAACCCCATTTTCAAACTAGCAGGTCATAGTCACTTCTTTCCAATTAAGACAGACTCATTTTGTTCACTCAAAACGCAGAAAATATGCATGCAATTTTAGTGATTTTTCTATTCATTTACTAGTGTTTTAATTTATGAAGTCAGAGCTCTAACAAGCAAACATTTGGAATTAGTTTGACTTTTTTCTTTTTATTAACACATACCAGGGCACATAGAAGAGTTGTAACAATGAGATCAGAGCAAACTTTTAAAAATCAGACATTGGCCAGTAAATGTTACTACTTACTTCTGTGTAAGAGGTTGTACGCTTGCATTTTTCACCTGCTCTGCTGCTGTTAGAAGTCAAACAGCTGCTATTTGCAGAAAAATAGACTGCCAGCTAATTCCTGGAATTCTTAAATGTGGGGTTTAATGTTGTTGAAGACAAAGGCATATTCACATGTGGTGGTTTCAAACTCAGAACTTCTCTGCCAGAAGCATCAGAGATGCTGATTCTTTCACTATTATGCTGCTATTATCCAGTACCTCTGACTAGCGGAGATAAACCACCCGGTTCTTATTTCTCTGCATGCTCTGTTAATTGTTCATGTGCCCTCTCTCCACTAGAGGCCAGAAGTTTTCTATCCTACACAAATGGAAAGACAGTGAAAAGAGTAACAAGTACCTTAAGTAGAAAGTTGGGGAAAAGCCAAAACAGCTTTTTAGCATACGTGTCATGGAAGTAATCTGAAACGCATCTAACGTCGTATTCATATACAGATGGAGAAGCCTGGCTCTCACACTATGAACTGGACTGTCCATGTCCAATTCTTACAAAGAGGAGCCTACTCACATCAACAGTCAGTATGTGGTCCAATATCCTGACAGCACTAAAGAACTGCCACATTTTCGTGGAGTTCTTCATTCTGTGTGCTGATGCTCCAAGATATGTCACATTTTGGCATTTAAGCCAGTTTTCTTCAGGCATGTTGCTCTGCCAGCTGTTACAAGGTGCTATAATATAATTCAGCAACCAACTTTCCAAAAGGTGGTGAAAGACACTGCTGGACATTTTTAAGGGCTCTTGAATCACAGCCTGAGAGAAAGCACCAAAAGCAGAATCATTTTAACCTGGAAGGTCAGTTCTCAAATCTAGAAACTGGATCTTAGAGCTTATGTTGGAAACAGCCTCAGAAAGAAAGGACATGCAGGGTGGGAGATGGGCACACTCTAAAAGTCATCTTCTCTATAGCCTGAGAATGGTGCATTTAATATATGACAACAGACAAGTAAATAATCACTTAAGTATTCAAATGTATATAAAAACTTCACTAGTTTTCACCTACTGCAAAGATAGGTGTTAGAGGTTTCTGTTGGTTTACATATGGGCTGAAGCTACTATAGTTTGGCATGAAAGGTTTATTGCAGGGCTGTCTACTGAGAAATAAACTGAAACAAAGAACTTACTGAATTTTTTAAAAGGCAGCAGATGTTGCTTAGCATGTTGATGAGATAATAGGTGTGGCATGCCTGAGAAAAGGAGAGTGTCCCGAAAACTCTTTGCCCCCCTCTTTTTACCAGCACAGGCTTGTGTGTTGTCTCAGCTACCTGCAGAGTTGCAGTTCCAGCAAAACTATACAGAAGCCTCTGAATCTGAAGTCTTCTATCAGAGGACAAAATCAAGGGTATTTTAGCTTTAAACTCACGATTGTGTAATTGCTAGCACTACCCAAGCAATAACAGGATCCATCTATCCTATCATATGAAGGCTATAAAACTGGATTAGTGTAAATCTTGCTGTCCTGTGTGGTTCTGCACTCACGTTTGCAAAATGCTGTCCCCTATCCCTATTTAAAAACATACGGTGAAATCCTGGTGTAGCAGTCAGTGTTCCAGGACAACTGCTCTTAACTTCAACTTCACAGCTCAAACTGCCGTAGCAAAGAATCCCTCTGAAGGGAGTTCAGCCTGATAAGGAGTTTTCGCTGCACTGAAACAAGTAATTTTTAAGTAGGAAATGAGAAGACGCCTTTAACTAGGTTAACTAGTTAGTTAGTGCAACTAACTGCACTTCTGCCACACTTGTGTCTGGTGTGAGATACTTGGCAAGTGACAAAAGCGTAGCCATCCTGCCATGTCTGGACTTCACCACCAGCTCAGGCTATTAAGACGGAGAGACAAAAGTAGAACAGCTTGAGCAAGTTGTTGTTTTGTGGATTTCTGGAGCTGTTTAAGTGCCTTGTTCCTTCCTAAACAGCTAATTATGTTTAAAATGTTACTTTTGGGGATTTGCCAGCAGAACATCAGTTGCAAGCAGGAAAAGAAACACATCATCCTGGGAAAAAAATTCATAGAGTATTTTTATCAACAAAAAAGGATTCTTTTCCTCCTCTCCCCACAGTTCCCCTGCTGGCAAAAGCAATTTCATTACCAAAAGCAGCACTGTTACCTTTTCAGAAGAGATAAGGTAAACAACTAGGGCAACACTGCCTGAGGGGAAGAGAGCCAGGTGGCTTTTTGCAAACCAGTGCCTAAAGCAAGTGAGCACCTATTTAAGATACCTGTATGCATCACTTCTGCCACGAGCAAGAATTTTGAGATCATTCATGGAGCAGGTGGTATTGGCACCGCTTTGAATTTTTTTACGACCCCTTCCTGAATATAAACCACAGACTCTGGCTTAGTAAAGTGGTCTGGTGCTATCTGCATTTCATTACCAAAGAAGGCAGTGCTGAAGGAAATAGGCAAAGCTAGCCCTCTGGCCGAAGGGATAGCTTAGTCACCATCCAGGGTTCCGTCCTGCAAGACAGTACATACTTCTCTGCTTCCTACAACTTTTAACTCTCTCCAGTTCTGTGGAAATGGAAGATGTTTGAATTGAGTGTTGCTTCAAGTTTATTTCAAAATAAACACTAAGAACATACAAAAGAAAACTCAACTCCTCTGTAAAATGAAAAGTTCAAGGAAAAAAGCTACTGAGCTATGAATGGAAGAAATAAATACAGATTTTTTTCAAGATTTTGTTAGAGATCAGTATTTCAATTCTAAATCAGCATATGATTAAAAAAATCCAGTGTTGGTGCAAGCAGAGATTATTGGAATGCAGTAACAGTAATTAATGTGCATTTCAGAATCCAGAAGGACCAAAAATAGTTGACAAAAAAGCCTACAACTCCGGCTCTTTATCTCTAGGTAGATTTTGTGATGCTTCAATGTAAACAATTCAAGCTAGAATAATATACATAAACTCCAACATCAACAGTAGAACGTACTACACGTGTAAAAATTCAAGGTTGTGCATCCCCCTTAACACCTTACTTTGCTCCAGAAAAGCACAGGGAAAATATCTTTCCCTGGACTGCCAGGCACGAAATGCACGCAACAGTCATCTGAAATCAGACTGAAGAGCAACTCCCTCTCCCTCCCAGAAAAATAATGACTAAGCCAACCGTTAGATAGATATGTAAATACAGGAAGAAGTCTGTAATAAATGGCCATTAGCAAACTAGTCCCTGCTGCTTCATCCCACTGCATTTTTCAACTCAAATTCTTTGTTGTAACTGCTTGGTTAATGCCCAGTATTACTATTCCAAGTTGCCAGCGCACCTTAATTCAAAAACAATATACAGTTAAGTTGAGAACAACTCAGAACTGAATGACACTTTGATTAGACTAGTCCACACAACATATTTATGCATTATACATAATGACCAATATTTTCCACTCAGCAATACTGCTAATACACTCTCTTCATAAAATCCTTTATTAATCTGCCTCCCTAGCAAGAGAAGTAAGAATTTCCTGCAGCTAAATTACCAACATTTTGCAATAGTGATTTTTTTTTACCATGAAAATTGCCAAATTTGTTGTGCAAAATAAAACAAAACCATATTTTAAGATACAGGAATGCTTAAATCCAGAAATAAAGATTAACTGAAAAAATGTACACACACAACTGAAGTTTTAGGCCTAGACCTGAAGAACGTGAAGCATCTGAACTGAAAGAAGGCTGCTGGTGAAATACTATGGAACAGACAAAAGCCCTGATGTAATAAAGCTTTCTGGGCATGCAGAAAGCTTGTTCCTGCATGACTGGACCCTTTATTTGTAGCTCAGAAACTAGTAACATCAATGAACACAGAAGCCTTCAGCAAGAACGTGCTCTCGGATCTGGGGCTAACTCAGAAAAGCAGTCTCAGTGCAGGTCAGCTCGCAGTTACCATTCCCTTGGTGACAGCCAGCTCCACACACAGCTAGGACAGAGCTACTACGATCCCTTTAAAACCTCCGTGTGTTTATACGTGAGTACGGTGTCACAGCTGGCACACAAATCAGAAGTTGCACGGCACACAGTCTGCACACAGCACAAAATCCCACGTACATGCTTTTTTGGGTTTAGTACGAGAGAGGTGCAGGGTGTGGAAGAAAGCTTACCTTCTAAAGGTGAGAAAAGGGTAAGAAACAGGACAACAAAAACAAAGATGCATAAAGTAGTCATAATAAGGAAGTGATAGTGACAAAATAACTCAAAAGGCAAACTAAGGGTCAAGTGCCAAACAATATAGGCCAAAGTGATTTTAATGCCTAGATTACATCAGTGTTAGATTTTCTGCAAGATGTCATTTGTTCATAAGTCTGGCTCCCGGTCTCTATTTTCTTTAGATATATTTACAGTTACTTGTTACTCACAGTACTAACCCTCAAAGGAATCCCTTCAGCAATTTACTTCACAGCACTCAAAAAAAATCGGCAGGAATTTCAGTTACGCAGTTACATTTATGTGTAAGCCCACAGTAACACTTCCATGATGCTCTCTGTCAGACCTGCTTTCTGGTCTGCTACACATTTCACTGTCTTCAGTGAGCAGCATTTAAGGGTGCTAACTCCAGGTAAGTGGGTGCAGGCACTTGGCACAGCCTAGCATAGAGTTGTAAGGAACCAGTACTGTCCACATGCCACCTGCACAGACATCATATTCATCCAGAAGGGCTGTTCAATCTACCCTCTACTTCTTTGAGACAAGGCAAGTCCAGACTAAAACTGGGGAGGAAGGAAAAGGAAGAATTGTTCAAGGAGGGGTCCCCACAAATTGAGTAAGACGTCTGAACTTTAGGCCGCCTGCACGAGGAATGTGACAGCAACCTATCTTTCCCAGTAGTATCGAGGAGTAAAGTGTAGGGTAATCTCACGAAAGCCTAGCTACAAGACCAGTTTAACGTACGAAATGATAGCTTGTTACCTAACTATTCTGTCAAACACGATCTGGTAACCACTGCGCCACCTTCAAATGCCTCCCTTAACTTAGCTTATTGAAGAAAGCTAGTTTTGAAAGATACATTAACACAATCATCCCTGAAGATGTTCTTTGGCCCTGAAGAGATTATAGGATGTAATCACCAAGTGTTACAAACCTGTTGCAAAAATAGGCATTTCAACAGTCTCAAAACCACACGTTTCTGAAGTGTACAACACGGTAATCAAAATGAGACCTCTCTATACAAATGTGGGCGTGAAACATACCTTGCTTGCCCAGGCATCTTCATCCCAGGAAGTAAGCTGTAATACACGGATTATTTCATTTATCTCAGCACTCATTTTCTCTACTGTGAAATTGCGATTTTTCAATGCCTCTTCTATTCCCTGGGTTTTAGAGTTTTTCGTGGTTACAAAAATCTTCATAGCTGTGAAAATACCACAGATTAGGAAGAGGTACATGCAAGATACGATCACTGCTCAAGGTGGCCTCCTACTGCATTAATACAGAGGTAGTACATCTTATTTTTACATGGGCCGTTGTATCTCAACGAGACTGTCCTTCTGACACAAGAAGCACAGTTACTTGCAGTCAGTACAGAAGCAATGTCGAGGGTGTTATTTTTAATAAACACAAGACACTGGGACGCCAGCTCAGAACAGACAGCAATTCAGAGTGATACTAGAAATTAAAGTGGAAAATACCTGAAATAAGTACTGGCAATAGCTCCTTCACTGTATTCATGGAGTTCACTAGCATAACCCGATGTTCCTGATGAGTTAATTCCTGTTGTCTCTCATCAATCATTTTGGCCATCTTTGTCATGCCTAAGGATTAAAGTAATTGAACATAGTCATAAAGAAAGAAATGTAATATTAAGTCTAATTTGCAACAGTTGAGCTTTCTAAACATGCAATGCAATGAATTATGACTACATTGAAGTTTAAAACTTAATTTTTATATTAGCAGCTGTTACTTAAAACATTCCAGAGGCTTCAGAGAAGCACTGATTCAAAACCTAGCCACTATGCAAAGTAGAATGGAACCCTCAAAACTCTTGATGTAAAATCCGAGCAATAAAAGAGAAAAAAACCCGAAATTACTACTTTAGGACGTGAAGTCACCTCATGAACTCTGGAAGCTCATTTACAGGGTTTTTTCCTTTTCTGTTAAGATTTGATCAAAGCCTTCATTGTGAATGGCAGAAAAAAACACCAGGGGTTTGTTTGCCCTGAGGCTTTACCAGAGTTCAAGAATCGTATCTACTTATACTTCAGTTCTGCTGGAAATATTTCAGTGCTCTAGAAGCGTGGAAAGAATTACATTTATTTTACAGCAACCCTGTTTTCAATAGCTAAGGCTTGCGAGGTTTCCCACACAGCACACGTGGAAGTTTTAGACATAGCTTCACACAAATTTAAGCTCCTTCAAATGGTGCTGTTGTGGCCCCATGCTCTCTCTCCTGCGGGGGACAAAACTGGAACAAAGCTGTATGCTCTTTGGCTGAATGACCATCCTGCTGGCTAGCATCTTGGGCGACTTCATATAACAGAAAGGTTAAATGAGCTTTAATTACAACACCAAAGAGCAGCAGAATCCCCCACACTGACAGCACAGAGGGGTGCGTTGTACAGAACCACCTTTCCTTTCAAATGGCAAAAGCCTGAGGAGGACATCACGTTCTCCTCTACTTCCAATAGGAGACCTACGAGCACACTGAGGATTTTACGTGTGCATGCTCCCATTTACGTGGTGCTTACAGTAACAGCTACGTTCAGATGCTCACTGATAGAGCTGCAGGGACAAGGACTACAGGTATAAAGTTATGCATAAAAAGTATAAAAAGTGTCGAGCAGCGTTTAGTTCAGGCAAAGACCGTGCTGCCAGAGGCACCAGATCAGCTTTTTATTCAGAACAGCAGGATTTTAGAGAAGATTATTTGCAATGAAGGTACAAGCGTACATCTCGCCTCCAAGAAGCCAAGACACTTGCCCAACACCTATTACCTCTGTCACACACACGTAACAGCAAATTACGTCCGTGAGGGTCAGTGAAGAGTCCCAAATGCCTGTGACTGAGCCAAATAGAGTAAACTGAACTCTGGGGAAGCTTCCATTTTAAAGACATGGAAGACAACGACCACAAAGAAACTGAAATTGTAAACCAAGTGAAAGAACGTGTTTCACAGATAGAGAAGACTGCCCTTTTTGCTTCATCCCTTCCTGTTCAAAATGAGGCAAAAATCTGTTTAGAAGAAGCTAACTTCTCATGGGACAAAAAAACTTTAGAAAACACTGTACCTTCATAGGGAACCTAAAGGTTTTTCACACCTAGAAACAGGGTAAAGTATACACCTATGAAATAAAACCAGGATTATCTACTAACACACTCTGGGACACGAGAGCTGCTAGTCATTTCACCTATGAGCGAGTTATTCTTACACAACATATGTATTCTTATTTATATATATATAAAGTACTAACTAGATTCCTGCTCTGTTTACATAAGCACTCTTTAGTCCAGTGTAACTGGAATTCCAACATCTGCCTACATTACCACAACATCTAGATTTTATAGAATGTGTTTGTTAAGTACCCATTGCTTCACGCTTGCTGAAACAAAAGCGTTTGGAGTAGTAGAAGACAGATGAATAGCAGGTTTCCTCTACAGCAAGGCAGTGCTTCACTTACCAACCGGTCTCTTCCACCAGCGAAAGCGTGAGTTAACACGGTGCAGTAACGTGTGGTGAGGGAGCATCAAATAATGAACAAAAAGAGGTTTTGTAACAACTGTGCTTTCGTATAACACTGCAAAACAGCTGTTTTGCAACCTCATTAAGTTATTAACATATGATACGTAGTTTATACTACTCAAAGAAATTCCTACTAGGCCTAAGTCATCTCAGTTACTACAGAGATTTTATCAGCTTAATGGACTTCACAGCTGTGAGTGCTTAATTACACACAGTGTTTTACTCGTGCATGATTACTTCCCACACACAATATAACGTAGGAAAAATACAGTATGTATCATCTGTGTGGTACATATTAGTTACAAACATCTTGACTCTTACAAATTCTTAAGAGAGAACGTGAATCAGAAAATAGTCATCATTCACCCTCTAGTTTACAACTCTTTCCAACAGACACCTTCAAAGGAACTGCCTTATCATTGTCCAGACACTCAAAAAACTTGGGTGAGGAAAGTGCCAGGGGTAAAAAAAAAGGTAGCGGAAAAGACTATACTTAATATGTTTATGATAGGTTATAGCATATCAAACCTGGCCCTAGGTTCTTTGTGTATGTCACCAAATCCTCCATAGTCTCTACTACTTCCGCCACAGTCAGATATTCCAATATTCCTTTGCAGACACGGATGATTTTACGGACCTAAAAGAGGAACATTCCGTCATTTATTAGATGAAGCTAAGTTACCCCGAATCCGAAATACAAGCCTACTATTACAGCAGAATAGGTGTAGCGTCTGCCCACGTGACATACGGGCAACCACAAGGCTGTGGGATACTGATTAAGTTACCCACAATGCCATTACTCAAGAGCACTGTACTGACAAAGACAATACTTAATCAGCATTCCACTACTCAGAAATGCAAAATCCTACTTCCAGTGTTTTCCCTTCGTACAACAAATGAAGGACATCACTGACACCACAGGTTATAAGGAACCGTGTTTAAGTACGCTGGCACGTTTGAAGGTTTTCAGTGTCATTTCATCAACAAACAACATTTAACTTCAGTCACAAAGTAAAACTACACAGAAAGCAGACTCCAAGCTTTCAGAGGAAATATTATCCACCATACAGCTTTACATATGGATAAAGCATTATCCAGCATTCCAGTGGGAAAGGTAGATCCAATATCTTACACTTTCCAGAAATGTCTGAAGACTGTACTAGATTTGCCTCTGGACATCTGCCTCAGCCCAACTTTTTCAGTTGATACCTGATTCCAAAACAGAGTTCTCCCTCGGTTAATCTCCAAACCTCCTGAACCACACGATTTCTGACACCACCACATAGAGTTCTCATTGAAGAATGAGTTGGTAATTAAATGTTAATTATCTACCACATGCAGTGTTCAGTCCCTAGAACAGAACACAGTTTCCTCCAAAGCTCATTTCAGTTCTGTCCCAGTGTTAGTTTATCCTGAAGCAAAGTAGGATAGAGACGTGCCAAGTTTTGTATTTGTGAAGAGTCAATCATTCCTGACTAACGTTTTCCTTCTGGTTAACATGCAGTTCTCAGACTAATTCAATGAAGCAGTAACCCCACAGAAGTCAACTCATTTCCTAAACACAGGAAGCAGGGAGATTAAAAGCTATTAACTTACTTGTAATTCTGTCCTGTAACACTTGACAGTATCTGTTAAACATCACTTAAAATAATGTGTAATCACAAGGGCCGCAGAGAAATCCCGCAGCATTCTCCTCATTTCAGAGGAATGTGCTAACAGTACCATGAGCAGATTAAATGAGACACCAGGCTGCCAGGTTGGACTACCCAGAACAGCAGGAAAAGGAGCACAACTTCATAGATTAACAGATTGTGCCAAGGGTAAGATGTAGAATGAGCATCAGACTTCCTGCGAGTTTCATTTCCTCCCAGTAGCGTGGCATTTGCTACCTAGAAATGAGTTGACTCTACATTCCCAGAATCACTATTTGTAACAGAGAAACAGTTTTAAATGTAAGATACTCGAAACCTTCTTAAGTCTCCTTGCAACTCTGGGGGCTTTTTTGTCCATCTGATGATGGACAAACAGCACCTCTGAGCCACGTTTTGGCTTGCGCAGCAGCTGAAATGTAACAACTGTTACATCTATCAGAACACATCTTCTGGCTAACCAGCCAGCCAGTCCACATTTTACTACCTTCTGTGCCCCACGGCCAATTAAACTGCCACAGCTAATGAGCCAGACGGACACAGTCGGAAGTGGCTCAGGGCTTTTCAGCAAAGGGACACAGAGAATATAGCGGTCAGTAATGGGTATGGTGAAGGGAATACAGAAAAGTGTCAGCAAGATGTAAGACAGTTGACAGGATCTGGCTTTTCTGAGGAATAATCACAGGCAACGCCTGAACATTATGTCATACAAAGATGCTCTTAGCAGAACGCAGCAAGAAGCCTAAGCTCCTTCTCACAGAAAAGGACGCAAAACAGGCTTCCAATCAAGCTAAAATGATCAAAACCACATCCATCTACTCCAGTTTAGATCAGCTAATTAAGTTAGGTGGATACTTGAGTTACTACTCGTGTGCAGATACCTATGCCAGTCATGTTGGGATTCCTACCTCTGCTTCATCAAAGGTCAGGAGTAAGTCTGACGTTCCAGAAAGAATGCCTCTTGATCCATCAATTAGATAGTCACGAGCTGGTACTGAATAGGGATCTGCTTGCAGCATCTGGGCTGCCCGAACTAGTTTGGTGCAGGCGTTCTCCACTCTGTGGAAAGGCATCAGACAAAACTTGATTAGTTTCTGTGTGACAGACTTGAGAAAATGCAGGATTTGTTTTTAACTTTACTACTTAAAACACTGCGAGCAAACTGATCATTCTACACCTTTATAGTTTAAAAAGCAGAGTATTTTTTGTATTTATTTTAACAAGTAACCAGCAACAGAAGGACACAGTTTTTCAGACGTCATTCAATCTTCCAGTGCAGGGGAAGTTTGAAATATCCCATGTACAGCAGTCAATCCAGGGTCATCATGGAGAGGGCCCCACATAGCAAAACACTTTTCATTCTTAACAACAAGGGCAGGGGACAAAACAATTATTCTTTTAGGACTTCACAATCAAAGCAATTCCTAACATTTATCAGCCCTGTATTTGCACTGTGATTCAGGAAGGAATTGCTATTAATGAATATTAAATAATAGCTAGCCATTAAGAGAAAAGAACATAGCATTATGCGAACCAAGATGCCCTGCTCTGCTCGTTGAAGCTGTAGTCCAGCTCTTCAGAGTCTATTAACATGACAGAAACAGGATTTTAAACAGCCACAAGATTTAGCACTAAGGTATGAATTTCAAACACAGCTTGCAATTCTACACTTAAAAACAGAAAAGAGGTTTTGCAAGACATTGCAGTAAGTAATTACAGTAGCACAGAGGTACTACAATCAGCAAGTGAGCTCTGAACTTCATTTCCATCAAGTGATTTAACACAACAATTTTAAAATATCAAGAACTAAACCACCAAAAAGCTATCGGGTTTGTTCTCTTGTTGTAATTAGTTCACAACAGCTTAGGGGAACAGCTAACATGAAGGGAAGTCTGGATTTTGCATGCTATTCACGAGTGTAGTTAATGGCTACATTGCCCGACTTCCCTCCATTCCCTCTGTGCCTCTGACAGAAATGTACGTGTAGCCTAGCCCACAGGTTCTACGCAGGCGAGTGCTGTGTGCTCATTCAACTTACACAACATTCCAGCAAACACCGCCCTCCTGTTAATGCAACACTACCTGGTATCGCAACTTTTCTGCGTTGCGGAAATAGCTCATTTTCTATTGACTGCTTGGACACACTTTTAGTTAAGTATACTGCAAAGTTCCGCAGTTACCCCATTTGCTCCCCTACATCCCTTGCTAACACAAATGGCAGAACTTAATGGTTACATCTAAACGTAACTATACTAGAACTAAGACCCTCCTTACAGGAGAACATACTTTTTTCAGAAAGTAAAGTTTTCAGCTACCAGTTCCCAAGAGTAGATGGAATTAGGCCAGCTGACCTTATCATTATCCCTGGATGTCTTCATGGCCAGGCTGGATGAGGCTTTGAGCAACCTGGTCTAGCGGAAGGTGTCCCTGCCCATGGCAAGGGGATGGGACTAGATGGTCTTCAAGGTCCCTTCCAACCCAAACCATTCTGTGATTCTATGATCATAACCTGCTCTTTAGCAAGACGTCTGCTCAGCACATCAGATGGTGGTGTCATGTAACCGAGAAAGAAAATAGAGGGATTCAAGGCAGAAAGTGAGAATGGTCTGCTCATTACTATGCAATGTACTCAGCTGTGTTATCAAAGTCAACAGTCTTGACTGAATTAAGATTTCCGTGCATGATTCCTAAATGTATTCCTTTCAACTCTGCCAAGAAAGGGATTAAACAAATCACCTATTCAACCAGCTCCAAGCTATAGGCTCAGAAACACTTCATTTCCTAGAGTTCAATTTCATGGTCATCCGTTTAATACTAACGATTATCTCAAGGCTGGCTTTTTTATTTGTAAAGAAAGGAATTGACATGAATGTGTCTTACCCCAGAAGTCACCGTAATTGACAAAAATTAAGTTTCTAAAGATTCAGAGTTTTCTTTTACAGCTTTTAGAGTTGAATCTCCACAAGTTAAACTTGCATTTTACTTGTACAATGTCTATTTGGTATAAACTTCCTAATGCATTTGAAAGACTTCAGGAATGTGCACTATGTACAAAAAAGCAGAGTGGTGTTTAAAAACCAGACACTCCCCATGCCCTGCAAAGCATACACGATAGGAAACAAAAGATCAGAATTTGGGAGAACAAGTAATTAAATTACCTTAATTAACAAAGAAAACAAAACAACCACCACCAAAGATATTCACTGCAATTATAATATTCACCTGTTCTATCACAACCACCAAACATATGCAAAAGTTTTTAACAGCAATTCATTGCTATGGTGAATTTTCTAATATCTGTATTATATCGCAACCTAAAACAGCTTGGTTTTATAAAAATGTGTATTCATTTTTGAGTCATGATTACAATAAAGTTACATTGTTATCAGCCAAATTCTTAGTGGAGAAAACACAGGTTGTGATATTTGCAACCATACTACTTTGGTAGCCCATCAGCTTGATTCCTGTCAGTGTTTTCTTTATGAAATGTGAGAAAATAAGTTTACCCTATGCTAAACTGCCATTTTAGTTTTCAAGTTTTAGGATTGACCCTCCCCTTTTCCCAGAGATGCCCGTGCAAAAATGCCAGGCAATGCCTTTGATGCTTGAATAATGCTCGTTTCAATTGCTCATCACTTAAGTTGCAGTGAATGTACTCACTACCATTTAGGTTACTTGCAGGTCTAGAAATATAACTTTAAAAGCAAGTATTTTACATTTGTTAATACCGTTAACAGCATCTACAGCTTGGCTACCGAAATAATGCTAATATGGGATTAAAACACAGACAAATTTGTCAGTGTAAACAAATCAGGTGTTACCCTATTTTTTTTGCATAGAGATAACAGCTTTTCCCTTCTTTACAACAGCAGTATAACAAGTAATATGAACACGCTGCAAACATCTGATATGCATCACTCATGTGATTAAGGCAATTAAAGAACACAGCATTTTTTAACTCTAGGTCAATCGTTCCAACGTGGTTTATGTCAGTAGCAAGCGAAGAGATGCATGATAGCTTCTCAACAGCCAAATTATTGTGCTGCACAATCACACTCCCACTGAAAAACTTGACAGATTACCATCTTATTTATTCATTAGGAACTTTTTACAGATTACCATCACATATTCATTATCAGTGTCAGTCTCAGGCAAGCCAAAACCCAAATCTCTGAAAAGAATAAACACATCACCTCCCTCATCCTCCAAGAGTGGCTCCCTCAAGACCAGTGGTCCTTTTGAATGGAGAAAATACAGACAGGGAATGCGGTGCTAGCACATGTGCACTATTCCTTAACCCATCATCCATGCGCCACTACAAGTTCTGCTGGAGCACTCCCTCAAAGAGGAATGCCAATTCCTGAACTAGTATTTTACAAACAAAAAGCCTTCCTCTCAGGAAAGGAAAAAAAAACAAAAACCACCTATCCTCAACTGTTGCACTTCCTGCACTCAAATCCTGCCCTTTAATGCAGGAACAGGTTAAGAGTCCCTTGGCAGCTCACCTGTGACTGCCACTTGTCCTACAACACAGATGTCAGCAACAACACACTCCACAGTGTTGCAAGGAACTGTTAACATGTACTTGGTCGTTTTGATATAAACTCCACGTTAACCAAAAAACGCCAAAGGCAATAGATGATCATTCGTAAAGGCCACTGAACATTCCAGGTTCAGGTTACTGCACCTAGGATAAGTACTATGTGAAAGCAGGTTTCACTACTGTGATGGACAGTCTTGTTTCCCATTTTTCATTATACCACAATTCAAGCAGTCATGGATTGCTGTAGAAAGAGTTCTTACACCCAGCATAAAGCGGTATTATTCAGCAGTGCTTGTATCACATTTCTACAGTAATTTAACTATTAAGTCTCCACAGTCTGCTAAGTGGTGATCAAGGACTGGCTGCAGTATAGCAGTTAAGAAAATCTCTTCCTTAATCCCTTGCTCGTCTCGGTGAACAAGATGGAAATTAGCTAACAACACTGCACATCCTAGAAAACAAGCGCATTCCAAATGACATGTTCGTATACAACTCATCAAGAAGCAAGAAAAAAGTTTTGGTTTCATTTCAATACATAAACACTCCCCTCAAAAGAAAAAAATCCCAAAATCGTGTTAAAACCCAAACACGATCACACCACAGGAACGCGGCGTAACAAACACTGCAGTAGACTGCATCGAAGGCCCATTTAGCTCAGTGTCCTGTCTCCAAAAGTACCCGCAAGTAGATGCCTGAGGAAGGTTAAGAACAGGATAAGCATTTATCACACTTCCTCTGGGCACTCCATCCTCCAACTCTTTTTAGTTCTTGGGATTTCCTGCAGTTTGTCTATTTGATAACCCACAATGGATTCCTCTAAGTACTTATCTACTGACCTCCAAACACTCAAATGATTTTAACCGTACATAACTTGCTATACAAATAAGTTCCTCCCTATTACTGGTTTATAAACTATCAGCTTAAAGCAATGCCCCCATCAAGTTCTTGTACAGGAAGAGAAGTGCAAGTTTCCATCTTCTCCGTGTAACTCCTACTTCCTTAGGCCTTTGTCAGGGCACCAATACCCTGTGTCACCTTTCCCAGGATGAAGGGTTCCAGCCTGCTCAGCTTTGCCATACCAAGTGGTATCAAGTGAGAGACCGGACTTCACTAAAAATTCAGCTATGTCATTCCTGAACTCTTACGGCAATACCACCTGGTCCTAGGCATTTTTTTATCGTTCATTTTGTCAATCTACGATGCAAACTAAATCCTCTCTTACTGCCTAACTAAAACTTTGTCTTTAGACACCATCTCTGTTCTCCATTTTCATATTTTCTTAGTTGCCTCGATGCTTTTGTTTTTTGACTGCCAGTTTTGTGCTTGGGAACGCAGTAAATTATTCAGTCATTCTGTACACACTGGACAACACCAACAGAGCAGTTGCTACATTCAGCAGGTTGTCGGGCAAAGTCACTTCAGTGAAAGTTTGCCTGTGGGCAGTAAGAAGCTTGGTAATTCCATCAGAAGCAATACATGATTTTTAAGACTTAAGGCAGCAAAAGGAGAAAGTCAGTTGTCCTTGATGCTGAGCCATGGAATTAAGAGCATCAGTCACTGCTCTTCCAATGCCTTAGATTGCCAGGCAGTTAGAGCATGCATCAGCTGCCTATACTGACAAATTCACACTTTACCAACCAAATTAATAGAAAAGCTTGAGAACACCATGATATCTCTGACATTGTTAAGCAAAACTGCAACAGCACATAGGTAAGTACCACTGTTACTCTGGGTGGGGTTTGTTTTTTTATTATTATTAAAGGAAAATACAGCCATAGCCTAGATATGTACCTGTTTGTATAGACTGTAATGGGAACAGTCACTGTTGGCAGGAAAAGTCATTCCTGACAAAGGTCAGCCTCAAGACCCCAGTGAGCTGTTCACACATATTTCTCATCTATACAGCAGAAATAAGTAACAACGATCTATTGTTAGAATCCATCTCCTATACCTACAATAGAGGATTTAAATTAAATAAAATTAGTTTACTTGATAAATGCTGGTGGCATATCCCTTTTCAAGATCTGGTCTTCTGTTGTCTGCACAGTCTCTTTTCCAACCTGCAGAAAAAGAAGTCACACTTAAGATTCAGAATTTCATTATAAAGCCTAGATGAAAACAAATAGCAAAATAACAACAACAATTTATAACATTGAAAATTTCTTCCACCAGGTTTGCTGACGCTGTGTCTGGTTTTGAGACCACCATATACTGCGGTTAGTCTAATGCTTTCCAAGTCACACATTGTTTCCTGCCAACATCTCTAACTCAATTAACTGTGGGGAGACAGGCACTTTTTCTTCTTCCCACTCTCCATAGAGACAACACTGTTTGTTTGCTACACTTAGTTGTAAAAACTTAATCACTGTGAATGCTGTAGGCTTCCCTCCTTTCTAAACCCCTAAGTCAGAAATTAAGTCCAAAGTTTATAAAAAAAATTACCCCCATTTTGCTATTCAACTGAATCTGTTAGGAAAACATAGATAGTTACTGAGACTACACCGCACAGCCACACCACCCTTTAGGCAAAAATAATTATGCAGAAGCTAATAAAGACAGAGATAGGGTAAGATCTGGAGTTCTCTATACACTAGCTCTTGTGTTCCACAATAGCAGTCTTTATAATTGGTAGTTGGCTCTCTGGCCTGTGAGATCACCAGCTTGACAAAATATTTCCAGCTCCTTTGTTCACTGTATTTTCCAGCTGAATAAGCTATTCAGAAAGCCATCACAATGCAGAGGGTCTTTAATCCAGACACTAGTTTGTGTCAAGAGCTGCCAGGCCTACTCCAGCTAGACAAGATAGCCCTGAAAATCCAGGATCAGCTGCTGTTTAAAGATTGCCTGATTTTTGACAGATGCTGTCGTGTGCCAGTACGCACAGCACTTGCCAAGTCTAATGCCATACAGCGTTCCAGAACCTCCGTTCCCTTGCAAATTTACACCACTTGCCAAAAACTGTCTTCCTCATGCGGTCCTTTTCAGGGGGACTTCACAGGAGTATTTAGTTGTACTTTATTTGGTTCAAACACAGAGCCAGCCTAGTCTACATTTGTTTGGGGCTTTTGGTTTTTTGTTTGTTTGGTTTGTTTTTAATGTGTTAGTACTACACAAATAGCTCCCACCGATGTTTGTAAGCACTGAAGAGAAGAGCAGAGAGGTTAACAGTCGTGACTGTAACAGTTGGTTTTGCTCATATGGTCATTGTAGGCTCACTAACAGGAGTGTTCCCTCCTAGCACACAGCACTGCAGGGTTGCTTTGTCTCCTGAAGTGCATGGTCACACCTGAGGAGCAGAGTTATGAACATACCTCATGCCCCGCTTCTTGGGACAGGGGTAGCTGAGCCAGCAGAGAGCACACCAGCTTTGCTCTATTCACTTCCATTGCACACACTGAGCATTTCCTACGTTTTTTCACATTTGTATACACACACAATCAAGAAAACAAAGAAAAGGGGTAGTTTACATATATTGGGGATTACACATTTTTCAGACAGAAGGCTGTCATCAGGTGACAAATGAAGACCAATACTTTATTTCCAGACAAGCACTGGGAGGAAATCCCATTGCCTTCACGTTTCCTCTTGCAGCTGGAATAGTCTGCATGTAGTTCAGTTTATTTTAAACATATATCTGAGTGTACACAGTTTAATGAAAACATGAAAAAATGAAGCTTACAACAGGGGTGGCAGCTTTAAGATGAAGATAATTTAAACAACCCTTATGGCTATTTTATATTGAACAGGCAGGACCAACCAAGACAACCTCTGCTCAGGTTACAACACACTCTAGGTTTTATTAGGCCATACTAAAAGCATTTCTTCACACAGCCTGGAAAGCATAAGTGTATCCTTTTATAGGAGAGACAAGTTCACTAATCAAAGCAGAATTATCAACTAATTACAGGTATATACACACTTTATTTATACATACACATATATGGACAATTTTTGCAATGCCTAGCTAAGATCTTCAGTCTTAAAGTTACAGTGTGAATCAGTTCCCATCGTCATTTTCTGTGGAGTATTTAAACCTCAAAGCTTTCCTATAACAGTCCTGGTCCTAAACTCCAAAACCAGATGATTTATCTTCCAAGTCCATCTCAAAGCAGAAATACTCATTCCTCTGCTGTCCTCAGCACTATACAGCACACAGGCAGGACACCAGGTTCCAGGTAGTTCCCATGAGACCTCAGTTTAAGAGGTCCCCCCACCTTTGTGCAAGAATGTACTTTTTAACCCTATTTTAAGTATCAATACAGTATATATTCCCTGACTCTTTTTAAGCATAAAAGCTTTTGCCTCAGAGGAACAAATATCTTATTTACATAGCTATTAACTTTTCCATAAGCTGCTTTCCACATTTGTGGCCAAGGTATAGAGGTGGAATGTAAAAAACAAGTGTACTCCACATACTATTTAACAAGTCTCAAAACATGAAGCCACATGACTAAAAAATGCAACCCCAGAAGAGTTTTGTGGGGTTCCCTTTTTAGCTTTGTGGTTAGGGGGATTTCTTGTTTTGTTTCTTACTTAGTTTTAATAAGATCCTGTTTCTTCAGAATGAATTTTATATGGGCTAAGCAGTCCTTGGGCATAGCACAGGGTAGGACATTCACTCAACTACCTTCTCCACACTTCACTACCAAAAGAAGGAAGATCTTTTCCCTCATTAAGATGTAATACCTATACATTCCCTATTTCAGGCAGAAAGCATGTCAAGCTTCATGCTAATACAAAACAATTACCTGGAAAACCTGCATTTTATTTACATCTAACAGTATACATGTGGAAAGAACCGCTCAAGATTTCTACTGGGGTTTTAGATATTCTTACCTCTTAAGATACTTTTTCCCTAACTAGGGAGCAACAGTCTCTGTGGACTAGAAGCTTCTGCTTTGAAGTATACTTAAGTGGCGATTACTCATGGTTCCAAAGAAACTGCACTGGTTAACACAGCGAAGAGACCATGACTCCTTGAACACTGTACTTGCCCAGGGCAGCGCAGAGGAAAGGAAGCTCTCAAGCAAAATTCACAAAGACCATTTCACAGTTACAACTTCTACCCATCCATACTCATTTCCATACTCTTTGGGACATTGGTGGCAAATCAGCTGAATTGAGATTACAAATGCATTACTTTCCTGCTACTTAACAGCAGTGAACAGCTGGCACGTCTAGAAATTCAAAGGAAAAATGGGACATGCACAACAAGCCAGAGGACATACATGGCCACTGAAAGGCCCTCTAGGAATACAGCTGGAAGAACCAGGGGACAGCTTTCTGCTGCTTTTGGTTTTTAACCACCTGTGTAGGTCTCACACACTCTTATCTGCCACTGATTAGTATAACACCAGTATGATCTAAGCTTCCTGCTGTGGAGTATTTTCTCCATGGAAAAGCAAGAAGGCTTTCTGATCAGGCTGAGTTTTTTCATTATAGGTAGTTTTGCAGTGTTGTCATATCTGCCTCTACTGCAGGAGTGACCAGACATAAGCACCCCACAAGGTCCCTTTCCCATCTTCTTAGCCTGCTGGATATACCAAAGAGCACCTGTTCGGTGAGAAGGGGAAGGAGTTTCAGCTTCTGTAATACTAAGTTTGTTTAAACAAAGACACCACAAACAGTAATATCTCGTTCTCTTCAATTCTACAAGTTTAAAGTACAAACTGTAAGTATCATGTAGAATCAAGCACAAAACTAGGTAAGATGAGAGTCTCAAGTTAGTTTGGGGGCGGTTATTTGTTCTTTTTGTTTTGTTGTTGATGTATGTTTTTATCTTTTCCAACAAAGGTTCTTCTGAACTCATATTGACAACACCAATTTGCCAAATGCAGGAAGTGAAATTTTCCTTGCAGCTTATAGGATTTCCCCAGTTAAGAAGGAAGACCTTGGGATAATCTGTTTGTGAAACATTCCAGAAGCTAGTTTCAAACACCTGTCCTTTTAGCAAGGTCCCCAAGAATATTCCACTATCATCATCCAGTGAACACATGCAGCCCTGGCTGAAATACTAGCAGAGGCCAAGTTTTCCCCAAGGAATAAGCTACAGTATGAATTTTGCTTGACAAATTGGAGTGCCACTCAAAGGGACGTGGTCTGTACGCTGTACATGCAACTTCACCATAAGCCATCTCACATGAAAATCCAGTTGCTGGTTTATGCATTATTCCATGTTTCCAAGATTCCAGGAAGAATGGTGACATGATGATGGGAGTGTTAAATCTCACATCAGGAATTTGTTCCATGTCAGTGCAGTTCCATGAAGTTCTCCACAACTTCTAATTTCTTTATATGCCTGTCCTGAAATATTAAGCCTAAATATTTGCTGTAACAGCACAGTGACAGCAGTTTCAACACTGCATATCCATGTCTAGAACTGATCTCACAGGATTTTAAGAAATTAAAACTGGCCTACATTTCAAGATTATGAACAACCCATCAAGCAGAGTGAGAAGCAAGCCAAAGTTAAACCAAATTAACGCCCACTCCTTGCTGGCATAGATGACATACATCTCAGTCCAGACAAGAAAAACAAGCCACAAAACACAGGCAGGGAGGAATTCAACTGTCATGAAAGCATTTTGACTTCAGGTGACATGACCATACACCGAAAACAACTGAAATTAATGGTATCCAGTTTTATATCCTGTACCTTTCATGGAGCTCACCCCTCCCCATGAGGCTTGCCCATTGAAGGCCTAGAAAGCAGATCCATTATCGCAAACTGAGTCCAGAGACCGCTTGTCTCCATCAGTTCAGAACTGGCACAGGCTCAATAACTACCTTCAGTTGTTCAGTTTTCCCTTTGTTAAACTAGTCATTAGAGCCAAATTACATGGAAAGCTTTTTAGGAAGGATCTCTAGCAGCAGAGGAGAAGCAAACAGGACTTAGCTGTTTACCTTCATTGCTGTCAGTCACAGTATGTTGACTGCAATCCACTTGGGTTTTATTTACATTATCAAGCAGATCCATTTGTTGGTATTTCAGGCTATTTCACTCAGCTCTTAGAAATACAGCTGTTGGATCGAATGTTGTTTTATCATGCACTGCCTCTTAGCAGTCACAATCCACATGTTAAACGTTAACCCAACAGAACTGCTGGCATACAGAAGACTAAAGCTTTGTCAGATGCAAGTCACAGTTTCGGGGCATAGCATGAAATTTCTTGGTCACACCTGAATTTCACAAGTCACTGAGAAACTGTCATCAGATGACAAACAGCTTCCAGCAGAGACAAAACTGTCTGCAAGCTGAACACAAGAGATAAGCAATGCTGAAGTGCTTCTCAAAATTCCAGGAGAACAGGTTTACAGGTAACTCCTCACAACGTAACCCTTCTCACCCAGTAAGGCTGAAGAGAGTCAGTAATAACCAATGGACAATAGTGTAACCCTTTTTTGTAACACAGAACTACCTTTCTTCCAAAGGGTCTCTTGGAAGCCTATAACAAATCAAATTTTTTACGCCTCCAGTATGCCACTCATCTTGCTTTGAATTATAACTGGGATTGGTATGTCACTTGCAATTAGCAAGTTTAACACCAGTTTAAGAAGCTCTAAGTTTTTCTACTTATCTGTAGGGGAATAGGCCAATGCAATTAGAGACTGAAAAATAAGTCCAAAGACATAGGCAGCTGAATTCTCTCCCTGCTTCTAGCTTACACCGAACAATGCCCATATACTACCCGTGACAGCAGTTAACAGGACCACTTTTCCTTCAAGCCAGCCATGAACTGAAAGAGACTGCTGAACTGGAGCCTACTCTGCCTTTCCATTAATATGGAAGCTGTATACTGGCTCCTGGCTTTCTCATGATTACCCTGGAGACCGCATTCCAGGCATAGCAAGGTACAGTTTCAAAGCCATCTGGCAATAAGTCAAGTAAATTAGAACACTCCAGCCATCTGGTCCCTAACAGCAGCAAACTGACCTACCTGTCTACACTGGTGATTAAGACAAATTCAATTG